GGAATACGGCCAAAGTGCGGCTTTTTAAAGCCTCACCAAAAGAAACACGCGGCGGCGGGATCACATAGATCCCCTAAGCCGCTGTGCAGTTCCTCCCCGGCAGAATCAGATGCCGGGGGGGGGGGAGCTACTGAAGGGAGAGCAAGGCTGCTGAACTGCGCATGTGTGCGTGTGCGCAGTTCAGCCGGGAGCCTGGATTGCTCCAGATGATGGGCGCGGCGGCAATCCCACAGCCACGCTTGCTGCGGTGGTTCAGGTAAGTCCTCCTCTGTAGGAGGTTCTTTTTTGCAGTGGCTTTTCCAGGTTTAGGGACGGATCAGGGACGGGTGCGCGCCACTTCCCAGATGTTGCGGTGAGATCGCGCCCATTTGCTGCACCCCCGATCCGTCCCTCTCCCGGGCCAAAATCTTCCGTGTGATCGGGGCCTATGAGAACTATCCCAAGTTGCGTTCACACGCACAAGATAAGGTGGGGGGGAAGCGAGACGATTTGCTCCGCAGGAATTTGACCCGCATTTGCGCGATCACACAGTCCCTGGGAGCTGCGGGGGCAGCCCACCACTGCGTGATCAGATGCTACCATGGGTGAATCATTGCTGCTTTTTTGCTGCATGTTTCCGGTGCACTTCAATGGGGGATCGATAATTCGCATCTCTGCACTGAGTGCTCCCTATGTAGTGTGCGATGATGCACATACTGAAACAGTGGAAAAAAACAATGGCATGGAGCTGGGATGGCCTGATCAGACTGTCCCGATGCCATGGGAGCGCGCTGGAGTGATCACACAGCGGAAAGTCCATTCCTGGCCCGTAGCAACCCATTTGCTACCGGACTTTCCCTGGTGTCTTTTTACTCTGCTTCTGCGGCAGAGCAAAACGGGTTGCCGACGGCGGGTTGCCGACGGGGGTGGGATGCTTCCCAGATGTTTGTGTCTGATCGCGCCCTTAAAATCCACCCAGCATTCTCGCCTGTGGTGTGGCTAATTCTGCGTGTGAGAAGTAAATTGTACTTTTTTGTTGTTCAGTCGCACAGTCGAGTCCGACTCTTCGCGACCCCACGGACTACATCACACCAGGTCCTCCTGTCTTCCGTCATGCTCCGGAGTTTGCTTAATTTCATGTTTGTTGTATTGTACTATTGTAAATTGTACTAAGCAAAGCCAAAAAAAAGTCTTTATAAAAAGATTTATTATAGAAGCGAGAGAGTGAGAAAGGGAAAAGGTGTTTGGATTCAAAAATGGGGCAAAAAGGGGGCAAAACAAAATACAGGGGGGAACCACACCAGAACACAGCATACAGAGTTCCAAATAAAAAATAGTACGGTTGATCTAACTCAGCTAGGTACACATGACCTAGGCCAGTGTTGGCAAACCTTTAAGAGACCGAGTGCCCAAACTGCAACCCAAAACCCACTTATTTATCGCAAAGTGCCAACACAGCAATTTAACCTGAATACTGAGGTTTTACGTTAGAAAAAACAACTCATGCATTAACTTAAGATGATCCAAACTAAGTAAGGAAAGCAATCCCAAATGCTTTCATTTACTTACAATTATTTGGCAGAGAATTCGACACTTTAATGACGGTCTGGGCCCGGCTGGGGCGATGGCACGCGTGCCCACAGAGAGGGCTCTGAGTGCCACCTCTGGCACCCGTGCCATAGGTTCGCCACCACTGACCTAGGCTGTAGCATGTTCCTCACAGCCTAGGCAGAGTTCTTTGGAGTAACACAACGTTGGAGTGGTCCTTAACCCCCTGCCCAACCTCCTGTGGACCTCAGGTTCCACTGAAGTCTGAAGACAAGGGGAAATCCCAAGCGTCCAAATATTTATGTTCAGTGGAATTGAACCTAGGCCAGTCTCCTCTGTAATAGCGATGATCCGATTTAGCAAATGCCAGGCAAAGCATCATGTCAGGTCCTGCTGTTCCCAATCAGAAACATACAGAAAATAGCATCTGCTGACAGCCCCGAACTTCCATGACAAATGGGTGGTCTGGCCAAAACTAGATTGTCCTTTGCCCAAAAACGGTGAACTCTGTCAGCATGATCCAACATGGAATGGGAATGAATGGGTCAGATGCTCTAGGTGGCACTCTTGAGCCCTCTTGGGGTTTCTGTTACAGCCACCACCAGCAATCGAAGGAGAGGTGCAGCACGGTATCCTTGTCCTCACAGAGGAGGGAGAGCTTGTACCTGAATAAAACTTGGTCTTAAAGGTACAACAGGACTATTTTGGGCCGGGGGGCCGGGGGAGGCTCTGCAACTTACCTGGCTGCTTCTTGCCCTGACTGAGGGCTGCTGGGAGCAGGGGGTGGGACTTGTTGCATGTGCCCGCCCCCTGGCCTCTTTACTGCCGGAGCTCTGCTCCTGTGCGCTCCTGCAGGAAATGACCCCTGGTTGCAACCAAGCATTGGCACCAGCAGCTGCATCGCGCTTTAGCTACCTGGATTGTAGCCTGCCTGCCTCTCTTTGCATGCCATCAGGATACATCCACGCCTCCTGCATCAGAGGATTTGCCATGTGACACACAGGCGAAGGGGTGAAAGATGAGGCCGCCTGCCTGTTCGTTGTAGCTTAGAGGTGCAGGTGCAGCTGCTTATTGAGAAGAGATGGACGGACAGCCCCCATTCAATATTCTGCTTGACATCTGCCCTCATTTCCCAGCATCATCTCCGCCACAAGTCTGTTCATATCCCAGGCCTAATGATGCATTGACAATTTGTCATGGGTGGGGAGGAGACGGCATGTCCTAGCGGCAGCAGCAAGGAAGGACAAACGCAACCGCGAAGGTTTTGAAATGCTGGATTGAAGCAACTAAAACCAAAATGGGATATTTTGCGGGCCACATTGAGAGCTCTGAGTGGTTTCTTGTGAATGTTGTGCCTTGATTTCAGGGGTGTGGGCATGTCTCTGCTTATGCCAAGAGAAAGTTGGCAGCTACCTGATAGAACTTGAGAGATACGTTATCCTAGATAGATTATGTCTGCCGCAAGGGTGCCGATGGGACCCTAGAAAATATGCTGCTGTTTTAAGAGTTTCTGTGCTCACGAAGAGAAGTTATTGTGCCTTATGTCCTTTATATACATCACAGTCCTTGAAAAAGATTGTATTCGAAACGGGTAAATTACTGGAGTCCCGTGGGACTAGTGATTGTGATACCGACAAGGTGCTGTCTGAATATTTGAATGGAATGTAAACCTGCGCTTTGATGTTCTGTTTGCATGAAACCTATTTTTGATCATATTTTGTATCAATATTTATATAACAGTATAGGGAAAAAAAGAAAAAGCACAAAATAGATTTATCTACACAGTGTTATATACTTTTGCTTATCTTCCTAACACTGTGACCCTCAGTTTTTGTATTTATGCCAAGAGAATGGCAAAGAACGCAATGCCTTTCAGTCACTGGGAATGGCCAGGGTTGTGTTTCGAGATGGTCTTTAGGCAGGCATTTCTGCAACTGGCCAAAAGTCAAAATGGGGTTTTATAAAACTGGGACCATTTCCCCTTCCTTTGAAATTGTAATTGCAACACTTGGAATCTCACTTTTTCCTCCCCCAATGATGGTGTTTAAAATTTGATAAGAAGACAGTTTCATGAAAGCTTTTAACGGACCTTTCTGAATTTTTTTCATTCAACTTTCAGTTGGTATATGCAGGACTTCATCCCCCCCCCCCCCGATAAAACTGGTAGCATTACCCCCCATTAACCACCATCTGGAACCCGGCTCCCAAGCATCCTACATTTCCTCAATTGCACCCCAGACATACTCAGGGATGCTAGATACAATAAAATCCTTGACTCCTGCAACTGGATTTGGCAACTATCCTGGATGAGATCCATGCAGCTACTGGAGGGGTGATCAGTGGATCCAGGTTTATTGGTCCCAATCAGCTGTTTTGAGGAAGTAGGGGACAAATTTCAGCCCCCCTTCCCTTCAACAGATGATTAGGGAAGAGGGGTGTGGCCCAGTGGTAGAGCCTCTGCCTGGCATGCAGGAGGTCCCAGGTTCACTCCCTGGCATCTCCAATTAAAAGGACCAGGCAACAAGTGATGGGAAAGACCTCCGCCTGAGACCCTGGAGGGCTGTAAAGAGGGGCTGTGGCTCAGTGGTAGAGCCTCTGCTTGGCATGCAGAAGGTCCAAGGTTCAATCTCTGGCATCTCCAGTTGGAAGGACCAGGCAGTAGGTGATGGGAAAGACCTTGACCTGAGACCCTGGAGAGCTGCCGCCAGTCTGAGTAGACAGTACTGACTTTGATGGACTAGTGGTCTGATTCAGTATAAGGCAGCTTCACATTTGTTCATGTGGACTGAAATACCTCTGTTCACGTGTGTACTGTCCAAATAACCTATTGGGAAGTGGGGGGGGTGTTTTGGGTGGCGGTTTCCAGGGGAATATAATCCGGCCTGCAAGCCGGCCAAGGTGTCGTGTTCCTGATCGAATAAAGTATGCTTTGCTGAAATCACTCTCCGTCTGCGTACTTTTCAACATTTGTTCATGTGGACTGAAATACCTCTGTTCACGTGTGTACTGTCCAATCATCTCTTTAGCATGCACACATTCACAGTTTCCTCCATGTTCACGTGCAGCCCAGGGCAAAATAAATGAATGGGAAGAACATATGCCTAGGGCAAATAGATGTCTTGCTAACAGAATTCACGGTGAGCGTTGTGTTTCCAAAATTCCCCCCCCACACACACAGAGAGAAGTTTAGTTTCCTTGAGATCTCTTGCAGGGCCAAGCACTCTGCACATTCATTTCCTTTTCATTTTTCTATCTTCAAAGGAACAACATTGGTGTTGAGATTCCGCAGACTTTTGGAGATGTCCGTGTCTTATCCTGCAACGGTAAGCTGCCATTTCCCAGCCGCTATGAATCCACTGGTGATGAATATGACATCACTCGATCAAATATGTTTCCCCCCCCCAGCTGTCTTTCAAGGACCCCTGGGTGAACAGTATCGTCCCTCCGTTTTGTCTTCACAACCACCCTGCGAGGTAGGCGGCCCAAGCGCACCCAGGGAGCTTCATGGCTAAGCAGAGATCTGGACCCGGGCCTTTGTCTGATGGTCTAACCCCTGCCCCAAACTGGCTTGCACAGGAAGCCATGCCTCTTAGCCAGGGGGAGTTCCATTCCCCAGAGTTATCTGACTCAAGCTCACCGTACTCTGGGTGTTGCTCAGGGAGCCTGCCGCACCTGACTGCCTACCCCAAACTAGGGTTGGCAGCCCCCAGGTGGGGCCTGGGGATGTCCCGCTTTTACAACTGATCTCCTGCTGACAGAGATCAGCTCCCCTGGAGAGAAAATGGCTTCTTTGGAGGGTGCGCTCTACGGCATTGTACCACACTGAGGCCCCTCCCCTCCCTAAACCCTGCCCTCTCCCGGATCCACCCCCCAAAGTCTCCAGGTATTTTCCAAACTGGACCTGGCAACCCTACCCCAGACTCTGGGCAGAATGTTGGCTAGCCAATCAGGAGCACCTAGGAGGATACTCCAGCAACTCCCAAGATGTAGAAAGCAGAGCTGAACGGACCTGGCATATGCCTAAGATTTCTCCTTTCAAAGCTTAATACAGGGGTCCCCAACCAGTGCTCCCTCTAAGCTGTAGAGTCTTGTGAGCAAAAATTCCACTTGGTGAGCTACCGGCATTAAAGTTGGGAGTGAGCGGTTTGGCTGCTGCATGAATTTGCTCTGGAGCCCTCCTTCCTGAGCGAAGACAAAAATGTGTGAGCCAGGGGCTAAAAAAGTGTGCGCTCGCTCACACTAATTCAGCTTAGAGGGAACACTGTCCCCAACATGGTACTAGTGGGCAAGTGCCCACCAGCACCTTTCCTGGTGCCCGCCAAGTGTTGTTAGAAAGTGGGTGGGGCCAAGTGGAGCTTTTGCCCCGGAAGGTTTCTAATTGGCCGTGCGGGTTAAAAAGCACTCTGTTAAACAGAACTTCTGCTTGACATGTTGAAGAGTTACTGCAAGAGTTATGCTCTCACTCCCTGACACTTGTTTTTTTTTAATTAGATTTATATACCGCCCTCCCCAATGGGCTCAGGGTGGTGTAAAAGATAACGGTAAAGGTTCCCTTGCTCGAAAGCCAGTCGAATCTGACTCTAGGGTTGCGGTGCTCATCTCCGTTAAAAAGCCGAAGAGCCAGCGCTGTCCGTGGTCATGTGGCCGGCATGACTAAACACCAAGGTGCACGGAACGCTGTTACCTTCCCACCGAAGTGGTCCCTATTTATCTACTTGCAATTTCTTGCTTTCGATCTGCTAGGTTGGCAGGAGCTGGAACCAGAGACGGGAGCTCACTCCATCATGCGGCACACTCGGGTCTGGAACTGCTGAACTACTGACCCTCCATAGCCTGAACTACTGACCTTCCATAGCCTGCAGTTCAGCGTCTTAACCACTTGAGCCACCACAGGGTGGTGTACAGCAGTTAAATATACAATTAAAACAGTATTAAAATAACAGTTAAAATGGTAAAATACCGTGTAACTATAAATACCGTGTAAATATAAAAATTGCCAGATGACTAGTCAGAAACAGGCCACTGGTGGACAATTTGCAGGGAAAAGTTAGGGCCAAAGAACCCAGGGGCGGGGGGGGGGTAGATGGGGACGCCCGCTGCCTCAACCAAATGCCCGGCGGAAGAGCTCCGTCTTGCAGGCCCTGCGGAAGTGCAATAGGTCTCGCAGGGCCCTGATCTCACACGGGAGCTCATTCCACCAGGTGGGGGCCAGGCCGGAAAAAGCCCTGGCCCTGCCCGAGGCAAGTCGGACGTCTCTGGGGCTGGGAACCACCAGCAGATGTTGATTTGTGGACCTCAAGACCCTCTGGGGCTCGGATGGGGAGAGGCGGTCTCGTTGGTTGTCAGCTCCACTTCCTGTGGCAACCATTTTGTTGTCGCGCCCATCACCTTGAGTCAAAATCCCAAAGGTGCCCACAGGATTAAAAAGGTCCCCCCTCCCCCGACTTAATGTGATCAACTGTAATTTCTGCAGCTCCTTTTTCCTTTGCTCTCAGAACAACCTTGTTGCTCTTCATGGTTTACAGACTGAAGCTGATTTGGTGAATGCTGAACAGGCACGTCCATAGCTGAGCGCAGGTTTGAATCATGGGCCCAAGGCCAGCATGCTGTCTACTAGTCAGAACACCAGGAGGCTTAGAAACATCTTCCGACTCAGCCCCCCAGCCCAGCCCTGGAGGCACACTCCAGTCACGAATGGGGACCCCAGAGCTGCTTTGTACAGCTCTACCGTCCCCTTGATAGCAGCACAATGTGGGAACTTGAAATCCTGGCATTACATCGAGAGCCAGTTTGGTGCAGTGGCTTAGTGCATAGACTCTAACCTGGGAGAACCGGGGTTGATTCCCCACTCCTCCACTTGCACCTGGCTGGATGACCTTGGGCAAGCCGTAGTTCTGGAAGAGCTGTTCTCTCAAGGACAGTTCTGGAAAGAGCTCCCTCAGCCCCACCTACCTCACAAGGTGTCTGTCGTGGGGAGGGGAAGGGAAAGGAGTTTGTAAGCTGCTCTGAGACTCCGAGTGAAGGGCAGGGTATGAATCCAATCTCTTGTCCTCCTCCTCCTCTTCTTCTACTAACATCAATGTTTAGACAACTGATACCATTATCGCTGGGGAGCCTCAGCCTGTTTTCCGGGTGTGTTATTGCATGTTACTGGGTCTGAGGTGACATGTTGCTTCCTTTGGTTGACATATTCACGGCCTCCGCGAGGTAGAAACTTTCCAGCAGTCGTTTTCTGACCTTTCCTGTCTCTGAAAATACCTTTGTGTGAAACTCAACAATTGGGGATGAACCATTAATTCCAACAGAAAATGCAGGCCCCAATCCAAAGAATGGTGCAACTTTTGTTGCCTTGTGTTTCTCAATCATCAGTTCCCCAATCCCGGGACAACCTGCTTCTGAAACAGAAGGGCATTTCAGAAGTGGTCGGTAAGCTCGTATGGCGAAGGCTGCCCTTTTGTGGAAAAAGTGAAACCCCAGATCCATAGGGCATGCCGAAAGCAGCTCCTGTTCATGACTTAGAAACAAAGGGTTAGTACATGATTAGAGTAGAGAAGGTATTACTCGTGTGTGGCGTCACTGGAGATGGGAGGGGAACTTCCTTCAGAGCAGGACAACAAAGAGTATTGTGGTGGTGGTGGTGGTGGGGTTGGACAATTTAGGTCCTTTCCACACTAGACCTTAAATCCCGGTTCAGCCCTGTCCCCGAAATTATATTCTACACAACACTTGAGTTCACCCCCATAATTATCTCGGGGTATTTCTTTGCTTCCAAATGACATTGAGTTCACCCTGGTTTCGCCCCACACTCAGAGGTCATTTCGGGGGGGATCACGGGGGATCGCAGTTCCCCCGGGTGAGATACGGGGGTGGGGCACATGACGAAGCCCCGCCCCCCACTTCCGGCCGCCCCACTTTCAGCCCTCATTCAGCCAGGAGGAGGCAGGAGAAGAGGGAGGGTAAGTTGCTTCCTCCCTGCCTCTCCCCACCCCTGCCTGCCTGGGGCCAGGGAGGGCCTTGGCGGGGCTTCCTTGTA